TGGCATGAGGGTGCGCTGGAGTCAATGGTCCATGCCGGGTTGAAGGGACTAAAGGAGGTGCGGGGCTTTTGGGAAGGGGTAAAGGGCCAATAACTTCCCTGTCGACATGAAGTTAAATTCACTGGACGTTAGTTTTTGTTGCACTTGAAACTTTAAACCTGCCTCATAGATGAAGTACACAGAGAAAAAAGAATGGTTATTAAATTTTGAAGAATATTTTATGGTTTTTTAAATACTTTTATAATATAAACACAAAACTACAAATTGTTTATAAAATAAAAACAAACTAAAATATTTATATCACCATTTCCCATCTTTTACCACTGTGTGCACTTCGCCTCCTTTTGCCCACCCCCTTCTCTTATACCCCGACAATGAGCAAATGAGAAGTGCACTTCCGATGCCCAAAAGGGAGACGTACTGACGATTGGTGAGGGAAAATCATGACCACCCGCAACTTTTTTAGTGAACCCGCAGAGCGGTAATGAAAATTTAGCTACGTGAATGCGTGAGGGAGGAAGGAGGGGAGAGAATAGGAAAGCAGGGTGTAGTGTATTTAACCCACCGAGAGACCCCGCGCTTTTCCCGCTTTTTCCCACTTTTCCACGTATTTCTTGTGCAGTGAATCGTGCAACGTTCAACCCGTCAACTCGTTCATCTAAATTTCATTGGCCGCAGGCGGCAAAACTGTAACTGACAACGAGCCAAGACCCGAAATCCAACTCAAAGTGCCACCACCCCGTCCTCCCGCACCTGCCACAATTTTGGGGCTAATTGAAATGTCTGTCTATTGGATGCCACTAACCCCCTCTCTCTCTCTCTTCTCCCTTCTTACCATATAGCCCATCTGTCATCGGGGATCGCTGCAATCGGGCCAAAATAAATGCAGCTCAATCAGCGAAAGTTCCAATCAACTTTGGCAGCCATTAGACCAAAATGCCGGCTGCATCTCCATGCCTCGATTTTCCGACGGCCCCTCAATCCTCCCCCTTTGGCCAAATATTCTCAACTTATTTCGCTGAATAATTAAACAAAAAGTCTGAAGATGAAGCGGCAGAAACAGAAACGGCACAAAAAATGGTGAACAATTAAACATGAATTATGTATTAATAATTTCTTCCACTGCAAATGGGGTTGGGAAAACTCCCGAAGTGCGGGGGTTGTATGGGTGGTTGGGCGTTATTGAGTTGAAGTTCCTCTAGCAGAAACATAAGCGGAAAAAAAGTTGTTTTTTTTCTCTCGAAACAAAACAAAACATTGGAAACGCTTCCCACGCGCCCCACAACAATAGTGAGAGAATTTTTGTTTTGCCTCGTAGTTTTATGTTTTCCAGGCATTGGTAATACTACGGCAGCAACGGCCAACAACAGCTTCAATCAAATACTGGCAAAAGAGGGCAAAAATCTTTTGGCCACATGCGAGAAGTTAAAAAAACAACATTCGATGAAGAAGCACACCAATGAGTGGGAACAGTGGGATCGATTGGAGAGATTTATGAGGTAAATTGATAATTTGTTAGGAAAAATTTGCCTGTTTTATTCATTGGCTAATTTTTAAGAATATTTTTAATAATAATTTTTATAATATTAATGTTATATAGCTTTTAAAATAAAATAGTTTTGTTAAAAACAGATTGCTAGTCTCTCATTTCTAGAACGTTTGAAGATAAATTAATGGTTAAATTAAGCTATAAGACTGATTTTTCTAGCCTTAACAAACATTAAATAATAATAATAAAAAATTATAAAAAATGTAAGAACAATTTAATGTAGGATCTATAGCATACTTACAGGCTTCTATTAAATCCTTAAAAGCCATCTTGAGCCTTTAGTTAGGTTTTATAACTCTTTTTACATTATAGTTGTTTATAAAATATAAAAAATTTAATAATAATAATACCAAATTTTAATCTTTAATAAGATTTATATTAATATACCATCAAAATAACATTTATACTAATTAGTTTATTAATGTTCTTAAAGAAAGCTAAAGAAAGAAAGCTAAAAGTTACATTTTCAAGATATATTGATATATTATCTCATTAATAAAAGAACGAATAAAAGAATATCATTTTTAATATGCTCTTCAAGTTTCTTCCAATATAAAACACTTTTAATAAATGTCCCTAATCAAATTTTGAAAAAAACATAAATGGAGGAACTTAATCAAAAAAGTAACTTAATCAACACAACGCCAAGATTAATATTAAAATAATAGCCACAATGAAAATCGAGAAAAGCAAAACAGATAAGCAAAATCGGTCAGCGGGGCTTTTATTTATGGTCCCATTAATTGAAAGCGTTTTTTTCGGTTTTGGCCATTTGCATGAATGAAGCGGCGATGGCCCATTGTGCTGCGCTTGGAAAAAACAAAGAAAAGCCAATTCCCACCAACTCACACAACCACGCGTGGGAGAAACACAATTGCAATACCATGTGTGTGTGTGTGTGTGTGTGTGTTGTGTGTGTGACGCCATTTTCATAAGCAGCCAAAGAAACAATTTGCTTATTTCGTTGGCTTCTGTGACTCTTTAGCCAAACATATATGGTTATATATATACATATATATTTTTGTTGCTGTCTGGAGCGGCGTCTAAATAAGTTTTTCCGTTTCTTGTTTGCATATTTTAACCAAAGCTGAACAAGTATCTGTGTATCTGCTAGATACATCTGCATCTGTGCGTTTTGTATCTGCATTTGTGCTGCATTTGCTCCTGCCGCTTCAGTCCTTTCATATTTATTCGTTTTCATTGCGTTTTCATTGTGGCTATCTGGCTTTGGCTTCAGCTTTAGCTTTCGCTTTAGCTTTAGCTTTGGGTCCCCATTCGTTTTTAATTAAATGCATAAACCAAAAAGCTCGTTTGCCGTCAAATGTTGGACACAAAAATCATTTTTCCATTGCAGCAAAAACACAAAAACAAAGCGGCCCGAAAAAGAGCCATAGTTTTATTATTTTTCATATACCTTTTATTTTTTTTCTTGTTTTTCCCAACTCTGGAGACAAATTACTGGGGGGAAAAGCGTCTCGGCTCTACCATTATGAATTGTTTTTAATTGCATTGAATTTGCTTGCGGTGAAAATGCGGCAAATACCCACAAAAATCGAGGCCATCTAGGGAAAATGAAACACGAAATAAACCAAAAAAAAGAATTAAATTGTTAAGTAGGAAAAATGCAAAAAAAGGAAAACACTCTTGTTGTTGGTGACGTTGATTAAAAACTTTTCGAGACAGTTGACGTTGCAGAAAATTCTCAAAAAGAGATGAAAAATCCTGTATTTCGGTGAGTGTGTGTGTGTGTTTGTGTGTGGTGCAGCTGAAGAGGCAACTGTAAAATTAGGTTAGCAAAGGAGTTTTTGGCTATGCGGTGTGGGTTATGGGTTATATGGCTGACTATGTGGTCACATGTGCAATTTGATTAAAACTTGGTTGCCACTAAAAAAAGTAAAAAAAAAAGACGAAAGAACTGCTGCCCCAAGTGAGGAAAAAACGAGAGCAAAAATCCAAAAGAAAAATCTGAAAACGAACCTCGTCATGGCTAAGTGGAGAGCATGTTTTACCGGAAATCGTTTTGCCACTCAAATGAACTGTTTTGTGGCCAGGTAGAAAGCATTGAAGTTCCTCCCCAAACTTAATTAAAGATTCTAGCACATGTCATGTTATTAAGCACCTGAAAAATGGTTTTAATTATGTGAAAATATGTTTGTTAAGTAAATTAATAGAAAAGGTGTACAATAATAATTCTTGTAAAAGGTAATTCTTAAACATAATAAATACTATGTCATTAATTTTATATATACAGCATTTTCCAAAAACTTGTAGTAAAAATATATTAAACAACATTTTAATTCACTTTCTATCCTGATAATTTTTAAAAGAATTACCATTTTTAAAAGAAGTAGGAAAATAAATATTTTGAAAAGAGCGCTGAAAATAATTGACTCGAGTTGGCATCACTAAACCTTATCCAAGGCTGCAACTGAGGTTATAGTCCAGGCTAAGCCATCCTCAGAGGTGCCAGAAGTAAGTATGTAGAGTATCACGTCGGCTTAATGTAAGAAATTTGTAAAATAAAAACAAGTGCCTGCGTCTGCGTGCCAGGTTCCACTTTATACTAAATGAAATTATATGGATATATATAAATATGTTTATAAATATATTTATATATATTTAACGAAACGAACTTAAAGAAGATTTTCTTCGCAGAAGATAAAATTTTCTAAAGCTCTTGAACCTCCTTTCGCTGCACTACCGAATTCCAAGCAACCACTTACAACTCTGCACTGGTGCTCTGATGAATACAAATCAAATACAAAACGAATTAATCAATTTGCCCATCAAAAGTACTTCCTTGACTTGTTTATTTTTAATATATAAATGCATGGCGTACAAAGAAATTTTTACTTTGGCCAACAGAACAACAAAATTTCAATAGATCAAATATACAAACAAATATTTAATGGTGTGCCTAAAAGCTCGCTGTGAAAATATCCTAAATTCCACCATTTACCTAGAACTTCGTTTTACGTTTAAATTAAATTTACTGTTTTATTAGTATTTTTCTTATGATTTGGAGAACGTTTTTGGTTAAATTCAAATAAATAAATAGAAATATAATATGCAAATATAAAATATTTATGCATATATATAAATATTTTTAAGCTAAATATCACTGTTATTATTACAGTTGACAAACCTTTCCAACAAGTCACAAGGACCTAACTCATGGCTGCCAAATACCGTTAAACTTTTTGTAAATAAACATGGCCGCCAGGGGATGAGTCAACTAGCCGGAGAGTCAGAAATCCGGAAGAGAGAGAGAGTGGCCAAAAAAGAGAAAGAGAGCCGGAGATTCACTCACTTGTTATGCGTGGGAGCGTTGCGGAATGCGCGCGCTTTTTGTAATTGTGGAAAGCGGAAAAGCGGAGAGGTGGTAAAGGAGAAGAAGAGTCAGGGCGGCGCAGACAGGAAGCTTTTCCCACAATTGCACAACGTCGGAGCGGTATTATTATTACGCGACAGGCAATCGGTGCGACAACAACAGCAAACTAAGCAACGCATCGCAGGCGCAAGCAACCAAACTACATATTACAACATATTTACTCGTCGCCCCATCAAAGCAGTGAGGGGTGGGGAAAGGATATATTTTCCGCCCTACCCGCCAGCCACCCCCAAAGAAGTGGGTGGCGAAGAATCGCCGTAGGATCCGCTCCTCCGCGACCATTCATTCAGTCACGAAATCTCATTCGGTGTGTGAGTGTTGATGAGGTTAGTTGTGAAACGCGGTCTGTTTCGTGATGAATCTGAAAACCGAAAAGTGCATCAAAGGAATCAATTAATCAAATCAGTGAAGTAAATTTAATTACCAGCGGAAAAGAAGAAACAAATCTAGTTGATAGTGTGCCCCGTGAAAAGAGGCGAAAAAGTGTTGCATACTCAGGGGCTGGCTGCAAAAATCTGCGCTAACATGTTGGTAAGTTCCGGTTTTTAATTATACAAACCCCAAAAAAAAACCATAAACTAATCTAAGAAAACTATCTATTAATTGATTTTCTTGGGAAGGCTTTTGAAAATATTTTCCAAGCCAAGTGATTTATTGATTTTTCCGCAATGCGTTGTGTGAGTGAGTGTGAGTGTGTGCGTATCTTTTTCGGTATGCACTTTTTCCAGAGAAACACCCCACTGGGGGCAGCAACCCCCAACTAAAAAGCGCCAACTTCTATTTTTCCATCATCAATACTTCACACAAACACACGCATACAGTGGAATAAAAACAAATGGTATTGGTGTGTGGAGCAGGCGCTCTATGCAACGGTATAGCAACCCCCAAACAATGCACAACCCACCCTCTCTTTCAATCTCTCTCTCCCATTCTCTCATTTTTGAAGGGTATTACTATCCCGCTCTCGCGACAATAGCTCAACTGTTTTGGCATTTGAAAACTAACTGGCGGCCTCCTACCCCACACCCCCATTCGCTTTTTCAGTTTCTGGGTGGGTGGTTGTTTTTCACACAGCCAGAGCACATCATAAATTTTGTGTCTATAACAATTTTTGTTATATTCAACCCACCCCCTACCGCCCAATAGACCCACCACCCCAAAAAACGACCCATACCCTCTTATCAAAAAAGTGCAAAGGAATTGTGTTGCACTTTCGAGAGTTCAACTTCCGTTCGTTAACTCTCGCGCTATGCTCTCTCTCCCAATGGCTCTTGTTGCGGGAAAATAACGGCACAGGCTTGCGCTCTCTCTCTCTCTCTCTCTCTCTGAAGGGAGAGAGGCAGTTGCATTTTCATTTCGATTTTACTGGGAGGTTTTTGCATATGGTTTTTTGGGGTTTCGGTTTTTATGCAACATATGCGACTACACATATAGATATATATGCATTATATAATTTGTATTTGATTATTTTGCCTTTGACGAATTCCGTTTGTGGAATGGTGGTACGAATGGAAACTAAAAATGTGTGGTTTTTTGTTGTTGCCATGGGCAATATGGTGAAAATTTGTGGGTGGCAATGTCTGCTGCAGAATGCAAATAACTGCATTCAAGTGCTTTTATATATATATATATATATATTGTGATATATGTATAAAAGAATATGTATTCACACGCACATATTTTATACATTTATATATTTTATATGGAAAATGCAATTTGTATGCACTCGAATTGCATTTGCCCGGGATTATGCCTATATAAATAAATTCTATGTACGGAGTTGGGGGACATGCCGGCAACGGAATTTTGTTTGATGGCGTCTCCATGGATTATATATATATAGAAATTAGTTGTGTATTTGAAGCTGCTTACATAGACTGACAGCTTAATTGCTTTTTACTTGACGACAAAAATTGATTTTAAGCCCGAGTTTAACGAAGCAAAGCGCTGGAAAATGCCAAGGAATGCATTGCATTTTCCTTCGGATTGGAAAGTGATTGGGGTGGAAAACGGAAACTAACTATACAACTTCCCATTTAGAAGGAATCTTTTCATATCATTTCACAATATCCTCAAACCAAATAAAGTTCTTTAAATTTGTTGCGAATATAGAGAAATAATTTAAAAATCTTAAAACTTTGCCCGAAGTCACAACATCGAAAGTAAAGTTGAATCAACATACTGATCGCTTGATTTTATTCTTAGCCGCAAACTGACTATTTCCTGTTGACTTCATTTCATTCACACTCCCCACGCTGATGATGATGAAAAAAAAATCACCCAGGGGCCAAGACCCAGTGACTCACCCGACCGCAAGGCAAGCCAAGCGGAGACTGTACCCAGCCCGATACTAAAACAAACCCAGACTCGACAACAAACACACACACATTCACACTACCCACCCACTCAGACAAAGCGGATTGAAGTTGGGAGTTCAGAGGGAGTTGCGCATGCGTGGCCGTGTCCCACGCCCACTCTCCAAGGGGTGTCTCCACACAGAAAACAAAAACATATTTCTTGATCTCTCTCTCTGTAGAGATCTGTTCAATGAAATGTCGTTGAAAATTCACTATTATCTACTGGAAATGATGTGCTTAAGATCGTCTAGAGTGAGATCTCCCAAGGAATAACCTGATATTATAATAACAAGCATACTATCAAATGATATAACATTAAATCTTCCAAAAGTGGCATTATTTAGACAAATTGTTAAAAAAAACATGTTTAAAGATAGAAGCATATCAATATGCAAATTTTGTGTTAAATTCCCTTTTTTCTCTCTGTGTATTAGTTGGATGTGGGATAGTGTTCGTTTATAGAGGGTGGGACAAAACTCTACAGTGGGAACCAGCGATCGCACAACCACCCCGGGGTTCCTATGTTAAATGAGACGTGACAAAGTGCAAGAATTTCGACCCCTTTCAAAAGGGCAAGCAGATTTCCTCGTTACAAGTGGCGCCCAAAATGGGAAGCCCTATTCCAGCGAGGAGACTTTCTCCGAACGAAAAAAAAATGCGAAGAAGGGCTTCGACTTCAGGGGCAACAGGTTTTGTTGGCCGTAGGAAGCCATGTGCTGCTGTAATTGGCCAGGCTCATTACGGGGATCGTTGGTTATATCACAGCTTGCACCGGTCCAAGGATGGACTAACGGGTCCACCCAGGCCCAATGAGCTCTGCCTCCGACAAGAACCTCTCAGGGGGATTCGAGGTGGCCCACATGTTGGTCAGTGACGGCTGCTAGCGAACCGGTTTCAGTCCCCAGGCAGCTCCTTTATCCGAGATCGTCATTATCATCGTCGTCATGATCATCATTGCCATCGTCAGCCACTTCCACTTGAGTGGCAATGAAGGCAAAGTAGGGTGCTCAGGCTGCTCCATTTCGAGGGTTAACCTGTTTGCTGGTTCCCTACGAATGAGGTGTGTGGATTGCGAACAAAGAGATGGAGACTAGATTTGGAACTCCTTGATTTTAAATGTTATCCAGCTTAGGGAAATATATCTCTATAAAGGAGATCATCTTAAAGTTGAGATATACAATAACTAATAATCTAACAATTCAATGAAGTTTAATTTTCCACGTGCTAGATAAGATTCTCCTATATATACAGATCTCTATATTTAATACTACATTATATCAGGGCATTTCCTGGTCTTCCTGGCCGAATGTGCAATGTGCATCTTTTCCACCTTATGGTACATTATGCATTTTTGCAACCACACATCGTTGGCGTTGTCTTCCTCCTGCGGAGGACTTACAAGAGTTGTTCGATCAAAATCAGCGTCATCGCAACCTGCAACCAACAACAACTTGGCGACGAAGATGCACTAGAGTCCATTGATTGCCTTTAACTTTCGATTTCATTGACTTCATATATGTATATACATATATATAGTTGAGGTTGTCGTTGCACCAGGAGTTTCCCATTTTTGAGTCATGCATATTTGCATGGCAACTGTATCAGAGATAGTACAAATTTATAGGCCAGCCAAGCAAAGGTTGAATGGCAGGTCTTGAACCCGAAATCGAATGCTGCTAAAATCAGCCCACGCCAAAAATCGGCTGTCGAAGCCACCCAATTGACTCTCTCATGTGGGTGAATGTGTTTATAAATACAGTCAAGCTTCGAAGGGGTGAAATCAATGACGTGCACGTTTATGATTATAGATAATAAAAAACTTAATATTTTTGCTGCATATGTACATTTATAGTAGTTATAGAAGAAGATCTTTAACATAAAATAAATAAATTTAAATCAAATCTTGTTAATTTCCTTTCGTTGAACATGAAAATTCGACAACTGAATGATTTTCAATTAGTACATTTTCGGGCTATGGGAGTTGGACTGTGGCTTCATTATGTGTCTACCTGGACCATGAATCGCACGCCCTCCTTCTGGCCATATATACCATACTACCATATACCAATCCCAAACCCAAACCCAAAAAAGCCTCGGCCCCGCTAATGAACGCAACAGTCGCAGTCGCCTCCTCCTCCACCGCCATCCAATAATAAAAACAACAACGATAGCAACCCACATGCACGAAGATCATTACCAACCCGAGCGGCGCATAAAAAAACAACGTAAGCCAACAGCAACAAAAACAACAACAACAGCGAAATCAAGTTGCGCCGTCGCAAACGCAAACTGACCTGGTCCGAAAATTCTACTCTGAACCACCCTACGCGATGAAGCGCTCTTCACCTCTCTCTTATTCCCATTCCATTTCCCACTCCCACTCTCGCTCTCTGCTTCTGTCGCCGCGATCCACAGTGGGCGATTTCAGCAGTTACAATGTCCGATTCCCGCCAAACTGTGCTTGGTTTTAAAAGCACAACTTGCTGTCCGAAACTATTTATTGGGTTTTTAAAATCTTGGTTTGAATTTATTTAAGTAATATAATATATCGAATTAATTAAATCGAATTCTGATTTTAAGTTGGATGCTTGTAATAATACCAAGGATACCACTTTTTTTAAATTGATTAATTTTTGCTTGATGGTATGATCAAAATTCCCACTGTGCGTCACCGGCCCACACACAATAACTGAAAAGTGGAAGAGAGGCAGCAGAAGCAACAACAAACGACTTGAATGAGCGGGTGGCTTGCCTTGCCATGCTGCCGGGCCTCTGCCGACGTCTCTGCTGACGCCGCCGCGTTGCTTGTTTGTTGCAATTTCTCTTTTATGTGATCATTCGCTTGTAAGGTGGCCACTTGCACAGTGGGGCCAAATAATATCAATGGTTTCTGGTTCTAATTTATTGTTAGCTAACCTTAAAGAACAGAAAAAATCGTTTTATTGAATTTTCCATATCGGATTTATAAATGCTTAATTAAATTTTATAACTAGAAGATTTTAAAATGTAAGACTATAAACAGTAGAGCTACAAAGTAAAAATTAAATTCGATAAATTCCGAAAATCAAGGTCAGAAAATCAGGAATCTTTTTAGTTATATTTCGATTAGGACACACGTCATAAGTAGTTTAATCATGGAACATCTGAGAATGGCCAAATCTACTTTCCTTCCGT